GCCCGCAGAATGCCCTGCTCCGGAGACGTCCTGCCGCCGCCCTGTAGATCTGGCCGTGCTGACGAGTCCGAGGTCCTCATGAAGTTGAGCGTCCCAGAGGATGGCCAGGAGGGTCTCGGTCTCCTCGTCGCCCCAGGGCACACCTGCTGCCAGGGGACAAGGGACACACTGTGAGACCCCGGGGGCCTGTACACCGCACGACAGAGGTAGCCGCTCAGGAAGCTACGTGCCAGTTTGTCCAGCTCGGCCACGGCTGCGTGCAGCCATCCCCAGGAAGCTACCCCACTGTGGGCTTCCTTCCGCACACACCGGCGCTCGGCCTAGCGGGAAGGGCCTCCTCTGACGGGGAACGGCTGTGGGGTATTTCCCAGAGCTGCGCTTCTCTTCTTTATCCCGAATCCCACTCCTTTGTCCTGAGAGCTGCCTGTGTCCTCGCTTGGGGGACTCCCTGGGTGTATGGCTCTAAGGGTCTGACCCTCTGAAGGGCCCGCTGCCCCCTGAAGGCCTGGGCACACAAGCCCACCGGCACCGCCCCGTGCCCGCCGCCCCTCAGGACGGCTCTCGCTGTGTGTGCGCACGTGCGTTCGCGCCGTCCTGCTCTTCCCGTGGGCCGTGCCTCCCAGGCTGCGGGCTGTCCCCCAGCCCCATGCTCCACCTGGCACACTCTGTCCCCACTGCTTTCCGTGTCTCTCCCCTCCCTCGGTCCCACTTGCTGTCACACGTGCTGGCCGCCCCGTCCTGAACCTCTGGTGTCTTGCTTTCCCTTTCTGGCAGTCTGTGTGTCGTGTCTGCTCTCAGACTCTCCCGGTTTCTCTCCTTCCCTCACCCAGCAGTCTCCGCTGCCGCTGTCTGTTTCGTCCTTTTTGGGTCTTCCAGTCTGTGTGTCTCTCGAGAGAGAGGAACACAGACGGTCTGGCCCTGAGGGAATGGGCATTCTTACCCAGAGTGTGATCTCTCTCATTCTTCTGAGTGATGCCCCTGCAGAAGGCCCTCTCTGTAGGGCGAAGATTGTTGGCATAATAGCCATTTATTTTAAAAAAAAAAAAAAAGAAAGAAAAATTGCTTCATTCTAAAGCTGTATATGTACTTTACAGAAAAAATATGTTTCATAGGGGGTGGGGGAGGCTTTAAGCCCCACCACCCAGAGATGACCCTCGTCCTCCTAAAAATACCACAGTAACTCAAGCCTTTCATTTTTTTCAGGCCAGAATAATATATACTGTCCCAGAAACCCATCCGCCCGAATCCTAGTACGGAAGTGGTTCATTCTGTGGACTTAATAACAGAACTTCGGGGAACACACACAAGTCTGATCGGGAGGAGTTTCCAGTACGAGGGATCTGAACCCGAAGCCAGGGGGAGCCGCAGGAGCGGGCCTGGGCGCGTGGTGAGTCCTGCCCCTTCCCATTCAACCCCACAGCCTCAGCAACCACACACCGGAGGGCAGGGACGTTCCCAAGGATTCTAACGAAATAACGATATACTGATTGTTTCATCTGCTTAAAAGAGAACAGTACAGCAAATATACGTGTCAACAATTAACAATTAAAATCAACAATTTTGCCTTCTCTCTCTTCCCCTGTTGAAAAAAAGAGCTGCATGAGAAAGGGGTTTGTCTCAAGTCCAGGAAGAGCTGGTGTGCAGGTGAGGGCAAGCTTGCGGATGTGAATGTACCTGGTTTAGAAGTAACAGAATTCAGTTGTAGTGAAGGAGAGTTAGGGCCACACGTAAGAAGTCTCCACCCTCTGTGCTGTTACCATTGAGTAACCTTTGCCATATTGTTTTATGGGTTATTTCAAAAGCATTAATCTAGAACCCCGCAGCCAACTCAAGTCAGAGGTGCATTCCTACCCAGCCCCAGGTGAGGGCAGAGACTTTGGCTTACCTTCTGACTGTTCCCCTGCTCTGTGTTGTGAGCTCTGTGACCCCTTCAAAGTGCTTTCCTCTGTATCAACCCCCCGTTTCAGGTGGGATCTCAGTGACTTTCTGGGCACTCCCAACAGGTCTGTCTCCTCATTGAGCTCTTTCCAGTCCTTCCCAGAATCTGGGACCTAAGAACAGACCCCATCATCTGTCACTAGAAATTCTTGCGTAAGGGACTATAAAACCTCTACAAGTGGCATTAGGAAACTATGTGAGACCTAGGAGGCAGAAAATAAATAGTCTCAGGCCTCTGTGATTTAAAAAAAACAAAACAAAACCAGAATTTGGTCTCACTCATCTGGTCTCTAGTGATTAAGATCAGGAGCTGCAAGCACCAGGCAGAGGTGGGTTGGCCAAGTGCTGGGCGGGCACGCATCTGAGGCAGGGGAGCACAGCAGCCTCACAGGAGGAGTGCCTCTCCCCCCATGTCCGGGCTTCCCCACGTCTGCTCAGCTCTCCTGGCATAAAAGATGTGACATCAGCCACTTACGTGTGCAGCTCACAGGCTGCTCCAAGACTCGGACCTTGGTTGCCAGACCCTGTCATCACCGTCTGCCTTGTCACAACCCAGCAGGGCTTGTAAAGCATAAGCTGCACGATACTCTGTCCAGCCCTCGCACCTCCCATCCTCCTCTTCTCCTGGACCTCACAGCCACTCCTCACTGCTCCGCCAAACGGGCCACATCCTTGCCCACCCGAAGCTGCTGACATAGACGGTGCCTCCCTCCCAGCTCAGCTCCTGTGTCCTCTTCAACAGGTCACGTCCACTTCCTGTCCGCCCTGCAGTCCCTGTCCAGCACGTCAGCTGCTCATTCCTGCCGAGCGCTTATCCCAAAGTAGTTTTCTTCCTTCACCTGTCGTCCGCTTCCCCATGGAGTGTGGCTCCTGCAGGCCAGGGACAACACCTGTCACATTCACTGTGAAATCCCCAGTATGTGGCACGTGGCAGGCACTGGGAGCCACCTGAGTCTTTCAGAGCCACCTGCATCCATTATGTCCCAAGCTTCTAACTGGGCCTTAGTGAGCGAGGGGTGGTAGGCAGAGGCTGCCGGTGTCCTGACACGTGCTATCAACCTGCTCTGCTCCGTCTCCCCTCCGCTTCCTGCTCTGCCCGTCCCATCCCAGACAGGTTTCAGGTAGCTCTTTTAACCCTGACATTCCTGTACCATCTCACTCCTGTGAAGAGCTTGGCTCTGAAATGATGGTGGCCATGAGGGAAAGACCGACCCCACAGAGAGAGGGCAAGGGGGCCAGGAGCAGGAGGACTGTCGGATGTAGTGGCTCCCACTCGTCACCGGCTCAGTCTCTAACTCCGTCCACGTGCTACTGCTTGGCTTTCTCTGCTCCCTCCTAGCGGTTAGTAATTGTCCCAACCCCATGGATCCTTCAGGAACTTCCTCAGCCTTGTCCCTGATGTCCCCACCACACAGCTCTGCCTTCTCCACATTATGTCAACACCGCTCTTCCTCCTGCAGCCCGAGGATACGTCCACCTCCTCACTGGGAACACAGGCATCTCCCGTTCCAGGCATGTAGTCTCTGCACCCAGCGCGCTGCTTCCTGTTGACTGCAGAGGGGCTCAGCCTACAGTGTCCCTCTGGCCCACACTCCTCTACTCTGTGCCTCTCCCAGACTTGGGATTGGGATCTCACTTGCCTTCTTCCCACAAACTACAACCAAGCCAAGTTCCTTTTCTTCTCCTGTGCCTCTCACAGCTCCCTTCTCCCAAAATGTACAAGATCGTTACACTGACCACATGTCCGACCTAGTCCCTAAGTGGACAAGTGCATATTTTGTGAAACTCATCACTATGCCATACCGACCCCTTAATCCTGGCAGCAGGAGCAGCTCTAATGCAACTTTTATTGAATAACACATGGCATCTGCCCTCAAGGAGCCTTTCGGCAAGAGACACTGGATTTTAACTCACCAACTCTAATTTTCCTGAGTCCCTGGGTGAGGGATAGTTGTCCTTTCCCTGGCCTTCTGTTGGAAAGTATTCTGAGGTTTTACATTTGTATTAGGGACCTTAAACATAAACTGAATATATCCGTGTCTGCGTTATTGCAGCAAACGAGAAATTCTCCCCAAAGACGAAGGTCAGGGACCTCCCCAAGCCAACTCGTGGTTTCTGGTGGCGGACAGAGCACTACTGTGCATTTCTCAGCTCGGCTCCTCTCCACTAAGCAGATTCCTGTGCTTCTCGCTCAGTTCTTCGTAACGAAACTTAGCAGGTTCTGAATGCCTGTCCTCACCTGCTGGCCAGATGCGCTCTGTACATCCTCAACCACAGCCACAACTTCCTCGCCATTTTCTGGATGTTGCTCCCTCACCCAGGTCTGGATCTCCTCTGGCAAGATGGTTGGAAACTGCTCCAAATCCAAGAGCTCCAACATCTGCTCTTTTGAGTGTGTCTTAGGCCTTAGCCACTGACAGCAGAGTTCCCAGAGCTTGCTAAAGGCTTCGTGGGGGCTGGCTACCTCTTGGGGGCAGAACTGCCTAAAGCGTTGGTGGGAGGCTTCTGAGTCAGAGTTGGTGCTGGGAAGGCCTGATTTCTGTCCCTGGTAGCAGTCCTTGCTTGGGATGGGTATGCCTGGGGACTCCTTGTCGCAGCCATGATTTCTGTCACCAGCCTGGTTTATTGGCAGCCATCACTACTCTGGAGATCAGGTTCCATTTCTTCTCATGTCACTGGAAAACCATTCTCCTGGACACTGCTGAAAGTCTTCCTGGAATCAGAGAAATATGAGAATATCTTAGTGGTTCAGAATCACAGCTGAAAGTAACTCAGCGACTTGGAAGGGGAGTTGCAGGAAATGGAAAAAGACAGCATAAAGTGATCTCATAGTCCTTCTCTCTGCTTCCCGTGATGTACTTTCTGCCCTTTTCCTTTGCTCCCTCTACAATCTGAGAATCTGAAGCACTAGAACTATCAAAACAGTTTTCTCCACAGGTCAGTGGTGTTTGCTCATGAATTCCCCAAACTACTTTCCCATGTAGCCCAGCTGTTCTTTCTTGTGTCCCCCTATGCCTGGGTCTTGGTCCCTGCCCTCCATCCCCTCAGGAAGCCAGGAGTCACCTTCCCAATTGTCACCTTCTCATAACGTGCCTCTGGATTAACCTCTTCATCGTTCACACTCTCGTCTCTACTACCACCACAGCCACAGACACAGTGTGGATGAGACACGACTGGCTTGCGGTATGCTTTCATTTTCCAGTACTCCTTCCTACTTCGGAATGCATCTTCTTCCTTTGTAACTGAGTCCTAAATTCCAGCGGGTGTCACGGGGCTATTCATTACAGTACCCTTCCCTCCCACCCCAGGAGTTTACATCAGGCATCTGACATAAACTGAGCCTGTCAAAAGTCTCTGAGGTTTTCCAAATTTCCTAGGAATTGCTGGATTGGGAGGATGTAAGACTGGAGCCATCTGTGATTGTGTGTCTCAATATAACCACTCCTGCACCAAAGGGGTGAGCCTGCTCACAGGAGTTAAAAACAACAACAACAAAAAACTTAAAAAACTGGATTCAGGTTGCTCTTCTTCCAAAGAACTTGAACTGCCTTCACTTACAATCTCCTTACATATAATGTAGCCCAAGAGACTAATGACAGGGAAATGGAAGGCATTCCTGGTAGCAGTCCTTTTTAAAACAGGAGCGTCACAGCACGCAGGGCCCCGACCTCGAAGATGTATGACACGCCGCAGATTTTCCATATCCTGCACCTTGTCCGGATGCAGAATAATTTAGTAAATGCTACCCTAGTTTCAGGCGGATGACGGAGCTCGTGCTCCTCTTTGACCCCTAACATCCCGTCCATAGTTCGTTTGAGAATGCTGCTCTCGTGTTTCACTCTGGCGAAGACCCAGGCGCTCGGCGGAAAGCAAGACAAGGGTAGGAGCCGGGCTGGTTCACGTCTCGCTCGGCGGAGATGCCCTGAGTCTTGCCAGTTCGTCCGGGGCGAGGGTCAGGAGCTGGGGCGGGTGGGAGGGAGCACTCGCAGGGTCACGGGCCGCCGGGAGTCCGGGGTGGCCGGGTCGGGGCGGGGGGTGCGCGGGGGCGTCCGCGCCTGTGCCCACCGTCCTGAAACGATGGCGTCCGACCCAGCTTCGACCCCGCAGCGGCGAGGAAGCGGAGTACTTACCAGACTCGCTCGGCAGCCGGTCCGGAAGTCAGCGACTGGACAACTCCCCGACTCCTGGCGCTAACCTACACGCTGCGCTTGGTCGAGAGCGGCGCCATTGGACTACAGCTCCCAGCGTGCACTGCGAAAGGCCGGTCGCCGTCCCTCGCCAGCATCGACAAACTCAGCAGCAAATAGACGCGAGAGACTGCCCTCTGGGAGCCAATCCCCCGGGAGAGGGGGCGGACCCCCAGTGCCGCATTTCCTTGCGTCATTCTCCCCTCAGCCAGTGGGAGTGTTCGCGACGAGCGGCCTCGGCTCCGCCCCCAGCCCTGGCTCCTGGTTTCCGGGTCCCAGGTCCCCAGAGAGGTGAGTCCGCGGCAGGTGGGTGCGGGGTGCAGGGTCGCTGGCGACGCTGCCGCCTCAGGCGCCACCCTGCCGGGCTCTCACACAGCCGCGAAGTTGACCCGTGCGCCCGAGAGCCGCAGGTTCGCTCAGCTGAGGGGCCGCCCGTGCGCCCTCGGAGGCCCGAGCCGGCGGGCCTGCCGGGCATCGCGAGCTAGCGGCTGCCGCGCTCCGCCTGCCCTTCTGCGAGCTGGGGCTTCTTCGCCCTTCGTGCGGTGCCGCCTGCCCCGCAGCTCCCGGCGAGATGCTCGAGGTCGGCGCTGCCAGGGTGCCGGGGAGGTGGCGCAGGCCACCTGTGTGACAACTCGAACTTTTCCTGGGGTTTCCCGACCGCCAGTTGGGTCACGCTGCGCAATTCCTCTGAGACCTTGTGTTTATCGGTGAAATAAAAGCAGGGTTTTCCCCCCGTTCCTTTCAGGACGTTATGAGTTTCCTCCATTTCGAGACAGTTGAGGAAACTGCCAGAGGGTCAGACTCCCCACCGTCAGTCCCTGTGTTGTCCTCGGGAGCTTGGGGCCTGTGTGTGCTCCGCCCTCCCCCACATCTCGCTGACGTTGAGAGAGACTTGTGCAGAGCCATGAGCCCGAAGGCTTGAGCTGCTTCGGAGGAGAGAGCCAGTCTCCCGAGCCCCAAGATGGCGGCTAAGATGGAGATAACTTTGAGCTCGCAGTCCCACATTCAGGCTTCCTCCAAGCCAGAGAGACACATAATAACAAAACTGGAAGACAAACGGGGACCCACTCTGCAAAAAGACCGCCCCGATCCCGAGCTCTCCCGCCAGAGCTTTCGACGGTTTTGTTATCAAGAGGTGTCTGGACCCCAAGAGGCCCTCTCCCGGCTCCAGCAGCTCTGCCGTCAGTGGCTGCAGCCCGAGCTGCACACCAAGGAACAGATTTTGGAGCTGCTCGTGCTGGAGCAGTTCCTGAACATCCTGCCTCCGGAGATCCAGGCCCGGGTCAGGCATCGATGTCCAGTGAGCAGCAAGGAGATTGTGACCCTGGTGGAAGATTTTCAAAGAGCTCCCAAGAGACCAAAGCAGTGGGTAAGGAGGGCCCTCTCTCGTGGTCGCCAGGATTTCTTTCTCATCTGGATAGTATCTGGTCTCTGCATCCCTCCCTATTTAGTCAGAGTCCAGAAATGGACCCGATGACTGCAAATGTTGCTTCTGGCCTCTATTTGGGAACCCCCTTGGGGGATGTAATAGGTGTTTAGAAAATCCAGGTACTGGGGTGCTCCAGTAAGAAAGTAGAGGATCAAGTAAGTTCCTTGCATTTGTGCCCACACATCACCCCACACCCATTCCTCCTGAAGTTTTCCTACTATCAGGATTCTTAGCAGGCAGGGTCATCTTGCTGGGTAGGAATTTGATTTGGGGGGAACTTCATGGTGGACCTGGCTTCGGTGATGTGTCTTCCCTGCGGATCAGGAAGTTGCAGCTCATTTGGCCAGTATTTTTTCCCAGCCTCCCAATTTAGACCCCATTCAGGGCTTAAGCAGGAAGCCAACAACCATATGCTTTGAGGAATGGAGGCTGTCAGGAAACACGGCGGGCAGTCTTCTAGCCGTACTACTACTGGGATCTCCTTATCAGGGAAGCCTTGGGCAGAACAGTTTATTAGGTATGGGTTTTATTATTAATGTTCTCATCAAATGCTTCCCGATCCAGTGGGACCTTTTTCTGATAGAATCTGCTGGGGTAGTGACACGGTGAGACACAGGATGCCGGGGTGGACATAGGGTGAGACTCTCCTAGGCCGATGTCATGACTGACCCTGTTATCTGTGCCTTCTCTCTGATGAGCTTGAGGCCCTGCGAAAGACCCTTTTAGGGTCACCCACTTAGGAAGTCTTGGCTGATTTGAAGCCTCCATGGATTAGGATTAATCTCACTAACCATTCTGCATGTCCTTCCCTTTGCTACCTTTGAGAGTTTTCATAGTCGCAGTTGGCCTCCGGACTGCTGTCGGTATACCCCAGGGTAAAGGAAGGGATCCTTGCAGAGCAGGAAGAGGTCAGGCTGCCCCCAGTCCTCAAGCTGCACTCTGATGCATGGGGCTTGTTCCTAGGTGGCCGTTTGTATGCAGGGGCAGAAGGTGCTCTTGGAGAAGACGGGGTCTCAGCTTGGAGAACAGGAACTCCCAGACTTTCAACTGCAAACTCCTAGAAGCTGTCCCAGGGAGAACTCTTTGGAGGAGCCTTCCCAGGCGGAATCTCAAGACCAGCTGAGCACTCATCATTGGGACAAGTCCCCGCTCCTCCAGGAACCAAGCCCCAAATTGGCCGGCCCAGGTAAACACTCTGTGCCCCTTCTCTCCCTCTCTAATCTTTACCTCCGTCAGAATATCTTGTGGTTCTGAGACACCATACGCTGCATGTCGGGGTTTTTAATGTTTTGTGTAACACTAGATCTTTATTTCCCAACAGATTTCATTGACTAGCATGGCAGTGATAGGTGTGTAAGAAGTACGGTTTTATCATTTTCTATTAATGACTCAGTGACAGTGCGTAATGGGATTATCTACTCTGTCCCCTTCGGAGCTTCTTGTAGTGACAGATCCACATATGACCCCTGATGAACTTCCCTCCAAACTGTGGCTGAGTTTCATTGCTTAAAATCGTCCCATGTTGAGAAGGGGCCTAAAGAATGCTATACGTTAGAGGAAGAGTGCCGCTTCGTATTATTTTCTGCCTCTTCCTTCTCCTGTGACAGTGTCTGCGCTTCACACCCTGTGTCCATTGCCCTATCCGTCTGTGGCACAGTGCCAGGCGTTGGTGGCCCTGCTGTACTCAGTCCTGTGATCTCTAAGACTGAATAACAGAGACACTCTGGCTAGTCTTAGTGATGTGAGTAGACGGTATGGTCAGCAGGTTAGAGAACATTACCAGAAGGCTGGAGCGCCTTGATTTCCTACATTCAGTGAAACACTTAGCTTTGGTTATTCTCTGAGCTCAGGAGTGGAGAAGACCTGGGGCATCCAGCAGAAAAACACTGTGACCCTGGCTCCAGTCCTGCCCCATAACCTCTGGGCTTCGTGGTCCTGAGCACGCACACTCCCTTCTCCTGCCTCATCTTAGGCAGCTCACCGTGCGTGCAGGCCCCATCGTTTATTCGATCCCCGAAGGTAGAGTCTCTACCCTAAGATCCAGTAGGGCCTTCCTTCAGAGCTGCACTGCCCAGTAAGTTGCCACTGTCCACACATAGCTATTTAAATTTTATTTATGGAGATACAGTTCACGTACTGTAAGAATCACCTTTTGAAGTATACATTTCAGTGGTGTTTAGTACTTCACATGCTTGTGTGACCATCCCTATTTGTCTAATTCTTGAAAATGTTCATGACCTCAGAAAGAAACCCAGAGCCCCTGGCAGTCACTCCCCAGTGCCCCCTCTCCGGCCCCTGGCAGCAACCATCTGCTTTGTCTCCGGATTTGCCTGTTGTGAATATTTCAGAATCACATATGTTGTGCTCTTTTGTGACTGGCTTCTTTCACTGAGAAGGTTTTTGGCTTCACCCATGTTATCACATGTGTCGCTCCTTTGTTCCTTTTTACGGCTGATACTCCATCACGTGAACGTTTTGTTTATTCATCAGGTGGTCATTTGGAGTGTTTCCACTTTTTGGCTGTTATGAATAGTGCTTCTGTGAACTTTTGTGTGCAAGTTTTTGTGTGGACATATGTTTTCATTTCTCTTGGCCGCATATCTATGAGTGGAATTGCTGGGTCAGACAGTAGCTCTCTGTTCAACCTTTTGAGGAAACACCAACTGTTTTCCAAAGCGGCTGTGCCATTTTACATTTCCAACAGCAGTTCCTGTGAGGATTCTAATGTCTTCACATCCCTGTCAGCACTTTTCGGTGTTTTGGTTACAACAGTCGCATTAGGTGTGAAGTGGTGCCTAACGGAGGTTTTATTTCCCTGATGGTGAATAATGTTGAACATCTCTTCATGTGCTTATTGGTCAGTGGTATATCTTCTTTGGAGAAGTATCTGTTCAGATCTTTCGTCTGTCTCTAATTTGGGTTAGTCTTTTGTTGTAAGAGTTCTTTTTATATCCTGCATACTTGGCCCCTATATATAATTTGCAAGTATTTTCTCCCACTGTGGGTTGTATTTTCACTTCCTTGATAGTGTCCTTTGAAGCACAAATGTTTCTAATTTTGGTCAAGTGCAATTTATCTATTTTCTCTATTTGGCTTGTGTTTTGGTGACATATGTAAAATACCTTTGCCTAATCCGAAATCACAAAGATTTATACCTATGTTTTGTTCATAGAGACATTAGTTTAGCCCTTCTGTTTATGTCTTTGATCCATTTTGAGTTATTCTGTGTACATGTTGTGAGGCAGGGTTCCACCCTCACTCTTCCGCATGTGGAAATCCAGTTGGCCCAGCGCCCTTTATTGAAAAGCCTAGTCTCTCCATTGAATTGCCTTGACAACCTTGTTGAAAAGCAGTTGACCTTGAAGGTATAGGCTGCTTATTTAAATTTGAATTAAAATTAACTGAAATTAGATAAAATTTAAAATTCTGTTTTCTCTGTCATGGTAGCCCCCATTTCAAGGACTCAGTAGCCCCATGTGGCTGGTGGCTGCCATATTGAATAGTATGTGCACACGCTCATGTACACACACACTTCTCACCTGGCAGCAGTCCTGTGGGATAACACAGCTCTAGAGCCTCCGGCTTGCCCACAGACATTTCAGCATGGTTCCGTCCTGATCCTCAGTCCTCATGGTCAGAAATTGGCAGAGTTTCTGAAATTAGGATACATGTCTAGCCCATTTTGTAGTTTGTAACCCTAATGCCGTCATGTTTATAATGAAAGAACACACTGCATTTGCTGAATTTCCCATTATTTGAAGTGATAGTTGTAATCATTCTGTGTCCATGTGAGTGAGTAGATTGGCAGTGTTGAAAGTTCAACAGTTCAACTCTCTCCTTTTCTTTTTTTTTTTTTTTTAAGATTTTATTTATTTATTTGACAAACAGAGATCACAAGTAGGCAGAGAGGCAGGCGGGGGGGCGGGAAGCAGGCTCCCTGCTGAGCAGAGAGCCCGATTTGAGGCTCGATCCCAGGACCGGGGGATCATGACCAGAGCTGAAGGCAGAGGCTTTAACCCACTGAGCCACCCAGGTGCCCCAACTCTCTCCTTTTCATTTGTTTATTGCCACTCAGGTCTGATGGGTTTGCTTTTCCATGTTTCTTCCTTCCCTAACCTTTCCTTAAAGGTAAGAAGTAGAGATGGGATTGGAGAACTTGGTTCCTAACATGAATATAAATTACAGTCCTCCCAGGAGCCTGTTAGCCATGTAGATTTCCAGCTCCCCTCCTCCCCAGAGATTCTGACTCAGCAGCCCTGGGGACACAGGAACAGCCTACTTGTGTAACAGGTGCCCCAGATGAATCAAATGCCAGTTGCCAGTGGAGGACCGCGCTTTGAGAATACTTCTTAGCTCATTTGCTGAGCTTCTTTCTTCAAAGCCCAGGAAATGAAACATATTCTTTCTAATTATAGAGGCCCCCAGAATGAAAAGTGACAACAAGGAAAATCCACAGCCAGAGGGGGCTAAAGGAGGAAAGCCATGTGCAGTTTCCCCGGGCAGATCCAAAGGGAATGGTCTGCAGAGTCCTGAGCCGAGAGGGGCGAGTATGAGTGAACCCCGGTTGTCCCGGAGGCAGGTCAGCCCCGCAAATGCTCAGAAGCCGTTCACTCACTATCAGAGACATTGCAGGGAACTGGAATACATCAGCAGCCCCCTGAAAAGCCACCCGCTGCGAGAGCTGAAGAAAAGCAAAGGAAGCAAAAGGAGCCTGAGCAGTCGTTTGCAACGTCTTGGTCACCAGCCGACCCGCTCAGCAAAGAAGCCTTACAAATGTGATGACTGTGGGAAAAGCTTCACGTGGAATTCGGAGCTCAAAAGACACAAGCGTGTACACACAGGGGAGAGGCCCTACACGTGCGGAGAGTGTGGGAACTGCTTTGGGCGCCAGTCCACCCTGAAGCTGCACCAGAGGATCCACACAGGGGAGAAGCCGTACCAGTGCAGCCAGTGTGGGAAAAGCTTTCGCCAGAGCTCAAACCTCCACCAGCACCACAGACTCCACCACGGGGACTGACAGTGGGGCTTCGCGCACTCAGTTCAGAAGGAAGGCGTCTGTGTTTCTCTTTCCCCTCACTTGCATGTAAACCACAGACTGTGTGACTTACAAGGAAAGCAAGAAGTCCCTGAGGAATGCCGGTGCACATTTGGCTGCTGAGAAGTCCCAGAAGACACCAAGGGGGATGTGACCCTGTTGGTGACCGAGTGAAGAGATGGCGGCTCTGGGTGTTGAGTCAGAGAGAACCGGGGTTTCTGCTAGAGAGCAGGGAGTAACTGTCAAGACAATCCGGCCGATCCTGCGGGGTCTCCTGCCCCTTTATTTATCCTCTAAACATGTCCAAGGGTAAATTACGTATATATTTAATGTACTTGCTGTCATACCAGACACTCTTGATCGTACACACGCTTCTTTAATAAAGATCGTGAGCCACTAGAATTTCAAGACAGAAGGTCATTGGAATATAAATCCCCTAATATTCTTACTCTAGTTTCTGGCTGGTCATAACAAAGGACACATGAAGTGAGAGTTTGAACATGTTTGTATGAAGAGAGGATTTCCAAGTAAATAGTGCTTTTACACACACACACACACACACACACACATTCAGTTCACACATGTTGAGGGAATTATTTATATGAAAACACCTTTGATTTAGGAAGAAATCTCAGCTGCTACAGCCCCCGCCCAGGCAACAGGGAAAGGCTGCAATGGGGAAGAAGCATGTAGTGCGTGGAGACAGCTAAGGACATGCCAAAGGGACCCTTACTAACCTTCCTCACTCAGGCTGGCAGCCTTAAGAAAAACAAGATGATTGGGGGATGGAGTGTTATAAAAGTGGATTATCTCAGTACATTTACTAAAACTCATTGAAATGGGTTAATTTTATGATATATAGATTATATCTCAGTGAATTTTCTTAAAAAACACAAAATATATTTGTATAAAATATAAAAGTTCTGGAACAAAGCCAGAGAGTTGATCGAATTCCATCCCATCATTCTCTCAACTAAGAGTCCAAACCCAGTCAGTATAGTTCTCAGTCACCCAGAGCAAGCCAGAGGACCTCTGAGTTCAGAGAAGACCCCGGTGGATGGGTGCACCGCCTCCAGCAGGACACGGGTAGGTGGCATTCTTGCTAAAACAGCGGGATCCTCCAGTTGCTGCCAGTCATCTCCGGGCTGTGTCTTACCCTCACCCATCACAGTTCTGCACATGCTGCTCCCTTTGAATTTAGGACCTGCCACCCCCACTGCTTCCTCCCTGTCCCATCTCACAGGAGCATCTTACTCAGCAAAACCCTCTCTGACTGGTTCCAGGCCGACTTCATTGTGTCCCTCCCTGCTCCACTGCGCACACCAGTGGGGCTCAACCTGGGAGCAGATTTGCCCCCCTCCTCCCGGGGGGCGGACATTCGGCCATGTGTGCAAATGCTGCTGGCCGCTCGCGGCTAGAGACCAGGGATGGAGCTAAACATCCTACAGTGCACAGGACAGCCCCACAGTGGAGTCGCCTAGTCCAAAGTGTCAGTGGTGACAAGGTTGGGGAGCTATGCCGCACACGGTAAAAGCTCTTCAAGGACAAGAACCGTATTTTTCTAACATCTTAGCTTTTAGACAAAGCCTAAAGGAAGCCAAGGGAAGTAGGTGTTTGGACAGGGCTTGGTCCTGCCTGAACCGGAGATCCTGGTGACAGTGTTGAATGCAGTTGACAAAGCTTCTTACCTTTGGGTCAGCGAGAGACTGAATGGAAGCTCTGTGGCCTTTTAGATTACATCACAGTCCCCCTCCCAGCAACCGTATTAGGTGTTAGAGGAGCTTGTCTGTATTACTATGCCTGCACCTTACCTCGCCCCCATCTGTCACCTCTTACCGGTTAGAGCCTCCTGATTGCTTATTTGCTCCAACCTCATCCATCGTTTTCCAGGACAGTTTTGCTGTCACAGGACCCTCCTAATCATGGCTACGTCTGTGTCCGTTTCCCATTGGCTCTCTAACGTGATCACAAATTTAGTGGCTTCAAACTTATTAGTGTTCCAAAGATTGGAAGTCCAAAATCTGTTCCACAGAACCAAAATTAAGGTTTCCGAGGGGAGAAATCTGTTTTGTTGCCTTTCTCAGCTCCTAGTGGCTGCTTCCTCCATCTTCAGAGGACATGCCTCCATCCTCTGTCGCATCACCTTGTCCTCTGGCTCCTACCCTCTGGCCCCCTGTGTAATATAAAGGGCCGTCATGATTTTATTGGGCCCACCCAGATAATCCAAGAGAATCCTCCTGTCTCATCTCAATCACATCTGCACAATCCCTGTTGCCATAGACAGTAACATTCATGGTTTCCAGGGATTAGGATGTAGACATATTTGGGAGGCCAGACTCCACCAACCACACCTGTCTTTTCTGTGTGTTGAATCAACTTGGTTAGTCAGAGCTCTCTCCTAAAAGCAAACAAACCTAGATTTCCACTCTTCTTGTTTATAAGAGTTGGGATAGGAACTCTCCCTTAAATGAAAGCTTTGTTTGGTATGTGTCAAAGAACCTGTATGTGTTTTCTCTCTTCTGAACAAAATAACTGCTGAATCGTAAAGTCTTTGGCTGTCTGTTCAACTGTGGTCCTTCAATAAATGTGACGAAATTACCATTCTGACTATCACTCATTCCCAAAACGTTTTCGAGCCCGTGATGCTACCTCGCCTCTCCCAGTTCTCCTCGGCGGATGAGGCGCGACTCGCGGCGAGCTGAGTCTGAGGGCTGGAACAGGTCCAGCCGCATTTGCCAGTGTACACAGCTCTTCAGAGGTAGGATCCTCCCGGTCGCCCTTGCCCACGCGTGGTTCCGCCAAAGGGCCTCTGCCCAGACCACTGGCTTGCAGCCTTGCAGTTAGCTACCCCATGTAAGAAATACTGTTTCTCTTCATCCACGAGCAACCTGTAAGGTTTACCATCTTGTCTGGGTTTGGCCTGTATTTAGCCATGGAGTGAGATGGCTCCCACTCAAGTTATTTGGTTCCCTGGTGACCCCCAGTGAGACAGGGGGAGGGAAACATGGTGCACAGTGGGGAATCTGGGCCTCGCACATGTCCCTGGAAAACATTTTCCATCTACAGCAGATAAGAACTTGTAAAACCCTTCCCATAATTCCATTACCACTCCCAACAGAATTCATGACTCCCGAATACCATCCGATACACGGTGTTGAAATTTCACCCAATGTTTCCAGAGAAAAAATGCTGTTTTTATAGCTTTGAGATCTGTTTCACACAGAACGTTTGACCATAATTACACGTTACTCACCAAGTTGTGCAACCATCACCACAACTCATATGAGAACATTTTCAACAGCTGAAGTAAACCCCATCATATCTAGTAGTCATTCCCCATCCCTGTGCCCCCTTGAGCTCCCTCTGCACTCGCACATCTTCAGGATTCATTCATGTCATAGCAGGTGTCGACTCTATCCTTTCTGTGACCAAGTAATAGTCCACTGCGTGGACGGACCACTTTGGCTTATCCATTCATCCAGCAGATATTTGGTTGTTTTCATTTCGGGGCTCTTGTTAATAGTGCGGCTTGGAATGTGTGTACAAGCTTTTTGTGAACTGGGCGCCTGGGTGGCTCAGTTGGTTAAGCGTCCACCTTCAGCTCAGGTCATGATCCCAGGGTCCTGGGATCGAGCCCCACATTAGGCTAACTGCTCAGTGAGGATTCTGCCTCTCCCTCTTCATCTGCTGCTGCTTCTTGCTCTTGCTCTCTCTCTCAAGTAAATAAATATTTTTTAAAAAAATTTAAAAAAAGGTTTTCTGTGAACACGCACTGTCATTTCCCTTGGGTAAATACTAGGAGTGCGGTGGCTAGGCCATGTGATAACATTATGTTTAGCCATTTCTGAGGAGCTGCCAGGCTGTTTTCTACTGGATCTACACCCCAGGTCCCCACCTGTAGTGTAGGGTCTCAGTTTCTCTACATCGCTGTCAGCACGTGGTATCATCGGTTTGATTACAGCGCGCTAGTCCGCACCAAGTGTGTCTCACTGTGGTTTTGGTTTGTGTTACCCTGATGTTGGACATCTTTTCCTATGTTTACTGGCCATCTGCGTATCTTTGGAGAAATGGCTATTCAGGACCTCTGCCCTTTTAAAATTTGGTTGTCTTTTCATTGTTGTAAGAGTCCGTTATAGATACTGGAATCAAGTCCTTATCAGATATAGGACTTGCAAATATTTTCTCCCATTTTTTTGTAATACACTTTTGTGCGATTGCAGTACATCTTTTAAAGCAACTGTCACCTGCCAGACTACAAAAGTGACCAGTACAGTCACAATCCCTGAATCGGCGGTGAAATAGAAGTGTGAGGCAACCCTCCCCAATGATCACTCTCTAGAATGGCTCTAGAAACTTGTATTGAACCAGATAAGGACAAAGCCAGCTAGACCCCAAGAACCTACCTTGCCTTGGGGGTCACTTGGCCATAGTCAGATCTGAGGCAGCTTTGTTTTTGTTGTTGTTGTTGTTGTTTCCTAAAGATTTTATTTATTTATTTGACAGAGATCACAAGTAGGCAGAGAGGCAGGCAGAGAGAGAGGGGGAAGCAGGCTCCCTGCAGAGTAGAGAGCCTGATGTGGGGCTCGATCCCAGGACCCTAGGATCATGACCTGAGACAAAGGCAGAGGTTTAACCCACTGAGCCACCCAGGTGCCCCCTGAGGCAGCTTGTTAAGGGGAAGGAGTGGACTTCGTGCCAGGCTAAGATTGAGGCATGGCTTTGCGCCCAGCCCTGTCATTCTCCAGCCCGGTCTCCTGGATAGTCATTTAAAACATCCAGGCCTGTGTCCTCCCCTGGAAATGGGAAGACCTGGACTGCTTCCCTCACATGATGGGTGAAGTGAATTGTGTGTACGGGAAAGCATCTTGTCTCCTGGACAGCATCGCACGAAAGGAAGGTGAATTCTGTGCCAAGTAGTAGGGAGCTTCTTGAATTCGCTCCTCAGCCCTACATATCCTGGGAGGGGCAAAGAGGCTGCAGGGATTCGAGGGCGGAGATGTCCTGTTCCCTGCATTTGGCATTTTTTTACACCACGGTCACAGGAGATAATGTCCTGAAAGGGGGAAGAATTTCTCCGAAAGGCTGCTTGTGAATAAAATCGGTGTCCCAGACAGAGGGACCCCAAAGCAGAGGCACCCCTTTCGAGCATGGCCCTTTATGCTGCTCTTTGCTTTTTCTTCTTTTACCAGAGTAAAATATACATACAATTGGCCCCTTTAACCGTTTGGGGTGGTTCCATTCAGTGGCAGGAAGCACATACCCACCGCTGTTCGGTCCTCGCCACCATCCCTCTCCAGCACTGATGCTTCCCAGACTGACACTCTGTCCCCATTAAACACTCCTCATTCCCCTCCCCCCACAGCCACCCTTCCGCTTTCTGTCTCTGTGACATTGACTCTAGGGACCTGGTGTAAGTGAAGTCACACGGTAGCTGTTCTTTTGCGACTGGCTTCTTTGACTCAGCATCATGTCCCCCGGGGTCCCTCCATGCTGTGGCGTGCGTCAGAATGTCCCTCCTTTTTACTGCATTTTGTGTAGCCATTCTTCCACTGGAAGACACTGGGGTTGTTTCCATCTTTTGGATATTGTGAATAGTGTGCTCCTTACTTTTGGTAAATACGTAATTTGCAAAAACCCAAGGAAAAGTTTGTCACAGGGCCACAGAGCCTCTGAGAGTGGCACCCTGTGTTATTGTCACTGGAGTAGCTGCAAGCAGGAATGGTCCCAAGCTCTGGGGAGGGGGTTGCTCTAGAAGGTGGAGCAGAGGGTTAAGGGCAAGGAGAGAGACCGGGGTGGCCAAGGGAGGGTGTCCCTGACAGGAGCAGCTTTAAACATCTTTGAACACCCAGAAATGAAGGTTAAAAATTGGGGGCTACCTGGGTCCCACTGTGAGGTATGAGGAGATGTCTGGGGGTAATGGGCAGACATATGAGCAGATACCCCACATGTACTGGGACTCAGCTTTGTTGGGAGAGGACAGTAGCTGGGTGCTTTCTCCAGCTGTGGGTGGGAGTGGGGTGAGTTGATGAAATCTGAGACTGACACAGTCCTAGGAAATAGCAGAGCCCAGCAAGTGACACTGCAGAGAAGGATGGTTGATGTGGAGCGTGGGTGGTCAGACCAAAGACCATGTCGGAGGACGAGTTTAAGGCACTTGCTTTACCTTTTGGAAAGAAGTGATGGGAGACAGTTCTGGCTACTAGCCAGGTCTTTTAGTCTGTTCGTGCTGCTGTAACTAAGTACAGACTCCGGGGCTTACAGACAACAGACATTAGCTCTCATGGTGCTGGAGGCTGAAGTACAAAATCAAGGTGCCAGCCACCAGGTCGGGTTCTGGTGAGACCCCTCTTCCTGGTTCATACTCGGCCATCTTGTCCCTGGGACCTCCCGCGGTGGAAGGGGCGAGGGCACGCTCTGGGGTCTCTTTCATAAGAACGATCCTGTAGATGAGGCTCTACCCTCGTGACCTAAGAACCTCCCAACAGCCCCGCCTCCTAATGCCATCGTCTTTGGGGGTTCAGATTGCAGTCTACGAATTTGGGGGAATCCTCGAATATTCAGACCATAGCACCCAAGTGTGCATGAACTTTGGCTTCGGACAGACCTAGTTCCAGTCCTGACTCTAGATCGCCTTTCAGAAGTGGCCTTCAGCTTTGTGAGGTTTAGATGAGAGGATCCAAGCCGTGTGCCTCTAGTGCTGTCCCAGTCGTCTTGGGGTCTAGACGCTGGACTTGGAGCATGTGGGCCTTTGTCCCTGGGGCCTCTGTTGCTTCTGTGAATACCCTGGAGAGGGGATGGGCAGGTGCAGGGGACCAGGGATGCGGGGGCTCGTGCTCTCACCTCTAGAACGCCCCTCACAAAGGCTTTGTAAACATCTGTCGATCTGAACTCTTCAGAATGCAGGGAAGGAGCCTGCCAGGGATGGTGTTTTCAGGGTGAAGCTGAGATAAAGCATTTGAGGACACAGATGCCTCTGGAGAGC